CGGTAACGCGAGTTTGGTGTGTGCTGCACTTGTCGAATAGGCAAACAAGGCAAATACTTTATCACACAAGCTATCTACACATGGTGATTGCTTGTCAAATATATCAAGCACGAAAATACAAATAGCCATGTGTAGTGCTACCATAAGATACTATGTTACTTAAAAGGAATTTAATTCTTAGGTTTTACTCTTTCGATCGACATCACAATAATCTCAGTCTGTACTAAAAAAACCGACCTCAAAAGTACGTGGAAATACATCTATTTGTCAAGTTTTATTGAAATCGGTTAAAGGAAATTGTGCAAACCCGGATTCATCCCCTAGTTCGCCACTATACACAACTTGACACAGGAGCTAATAAAAATCGATTCTCACTACTCAAAGTATATTGAGAGAGAGAAACGCCTTAAATTGGAGAATAGCAAAATCAACCATTAAAATAATTGCTCCTTATAATAAAATTTAGGCGCTATTCATAAAAATGAATCTTCATGCGTGAACAGCCACCCTTAGAGGTGAATGATTTTCTTCTAAATTAAATGGCACCACTATGGAGGTACCCTCTTTCCAACAAAAAAAGAATCATCAAAATCGGTTCACAAATACCGGAGTTATCGCGTAACATACATACAAAAAACATACAGTCGAATTGAGAACCTCCTTCTTTTTTTCGAAGTCGGTTAAAACACTAGAGCTTTTTTAAAAAGTTACTTTTAAAAATAAAATATTGTCTCCGTGTAGCAAAATATCCTATCTACGCTATTTCAAGTACTGTCCCTCCGAGTCTCATTGCTGTAGAACACCCTGTATAGTAGTACCATCATAAGTACAAAGCATCGAGTATATAACCAGAAATAGAGACGAAATAAGGGCCATCCATCCTTGGCAACTCATCAAATATCACTTTTAAATATTAACTCTCGTTTGCACTGAAATAACAAATTAGAAAACTTAAATAGTACAGCGCCAACAACTGATCTGTGTGTACATCTTTGTATATTCCAAAAATACTATGTATTTATTGTAATAAAGATAATATATCTGCAAAACAAACGGATTCACATTTCATTGGTAATTAAATGTGTAATTTTGCAATTTTCGTCCATTATAGCAACGCTCTAGTTAAATCGTCATATCATCAATGACATTTCGTCTCTATTTTTGGTTATGTATACTCGAATACTAAACTTGTAATATACCACAATATGATGCCGTATGATAGCCATGCGTAGGCGTACGCGTAGTAAGCATTCAGGGTAGTTTGTAAATTAGTTGACTTCTTTACTTCTTTTAAGGCGTAAGTAAAGCTAGATATTTTTTTTGTAATTTTTTGTATATGTTGTTTCCAATTTTTATGTGTATCAATATCTATTCCAAGTAAATTAAATGTATTGTATACATGTATTTACTTGTTTATTGTACAGGAATTACATTATTAAAAGGAGAACACTAATAAAAGGATCTGGTTTTTTTTCGTGCAAACCTAAATACAAGACACAATAACTAAAATAACTAAAAAATGAACAACAATTATAATACAAAAACAATATCAAAATAATAAACTGTCATGATAATTTTCTTTCAATTACAAAATCTATTGGAAATACAAAATGTTACCGTTATCTATGTAGCGCAAAATGACAATCTCAAAACAAAGTCACGATCACGATATCCTTTTTCCAAAAATGTTTCCTAGCTTATTTACTTTTCCCAGTGTTAGCCTAGGACCAATTGTTATTTGTTATTGCGTATTTGCTTCTTTGTTATTTGGCTTTTTTATGTAATATTTTCGTATTTTCATTTTTAGTCCAAAATTGGACGTAGTTTAACAAAAAGGATCCAATGCACATCCAGTCACTTTCGAGCTATTGCAGTTTGAAGTTTAATATGTTTATATATATGTTTATCACACGTTTTATTTTCCAAACTTCTAATATAATGTAACTCCAGAGATATTTATTTATGTTTATATATTGGGTTTTTTATCTGATCTAAGAGGTTAGACTTAAGGAACCGTTTAGTACATATAACTCATTTTTTACATCCTTTTTGCTTAACTACGTCCAATTAAAGAGACAAAACTAAGTGTCAGCATGGATGATTATCGGATAATTATTGTGATAATTATAATTATGAATTATAATTATGAATTATAATTATGATTTATAATTCCAGGTATCATTAAAATCACGAAAGAATTGTCTTGATTATTTCCACGTTCGTTCCTAATTGAATCAATCGCAACATAACTAAATTCATTACCTAAAATTATTGCGGCAATCTTATAAAAACAAGTTACATTATTACCTTAAAAACAGTTTTATTTAATCATTTTTTTCAATGTGAACACTGCGCTGTTTGACCCATTTTCATCCATTTAATATAACCTTAGTCCTAGTAAATGAGTTTTTGTTGTATGTTAGTCGTTTGTTCGGTTTCTTAAATAAAAAACATCAGTACGTCTCTGATTATATTCAGTAAAATCTAGCGAACTTATTAATTAAATAGGGCTAAAACAATAATTATATCGTAATTCAGCAGTTAATCCATTCAACTTACAATTTACAATACTTGCATATTACATTAATAAATTAATACTCCAATACTAACAAACTCTAATTCCGAGAAATAATGAAATATCCAGCGAAACATTATGCGGGGTTTTCCATAGTGTTATTATGCAGAAATATTGACCGCTTCTACAGTTGCCCCGTCTGGTCACTGACATTTTCTTGGAACTCGACTATTGAACTAATGTTTTGTTTCATGCGTTTGTGCTTTATTATAATTAGAATAAAGTAGAAATTGTAATCATTTCAATATTTATTCATGCTATGAAGGTTTATTTTATTAATGAATTAAAAAATAAAAATAGTAAGATAAATTGTTAATCTCTAGAGTTTTATATATTTAAAAGTGAGTGAAATAATTGAAAATGTAATAATGTGATAATATAACTATTTTTTCATTCGAACATGCTCGGAAGTGTTGGCATTACTTTAAAAAAATCGATAAAATTGTGGAGCGTACAACTCTTTGCCTACGGTGGAAGTACTTTCCTGCCACCTTACCTAATATATTACCTATCATCACAGAACAATTTTTGTTTACTAAATGGTAGTTTATGTGACTGTTACATAAGAACGGCAATAAAACATGAATGTAGGTTTGTGAAATGAGCCGACAGACGAGTTTCATAAAAACATCACAAGAGTGTTTTAATGCCTAATTAAGTACAGTTACATACACTGCTTTATCTATACACATATTAGAAGCTCTCTATGATCTGTTCAGGAACCGCATGTTGTGTGGCGGCAAATAAAAACTTTTCTCACGCATGTCACACAACCGTAGTTTTGATTTAATTCGTAGACAAACTAGACTAGGCCCCAATTATCATATCGTTCGATATCAAGTAACGTGTGAAATTTGTCAAAGTTGTTTGCTATTGACATTTCATTTCGAATAAAACTTCATCTCGACTGATATTAGATTAGAGGTCGAATAAAATTGTTCTGTTTTTCAGACATTCGAAATTTGAATGTATTAATAACGTCGAATTTGATGTTATTGTTATACAATAATAACATTTTCACAGATAAGAAATATGTTTTAACAAAACAGTTTATCTTTAAGCTGGTCGTAATTTGCGGTTTTTGAACACATCATAGAGGGTTTATGATATATGTGTAAATGAAAGTATATAACATCGAAACCCAAACCCATAATAATATATAACATGAATCACATAATCTTAAAATCACATTAGGTTAAAAGCAAAAGACCACTAAAACAATTTAAACAATATAAAAGCACGTTCTTGTTAGTTCTTGAACTCCGTAACAGAAAAATTAATTTTCATTTCAGTACGACCCCAACAAAACACGGGGAAGTTAAATATTTTTCATTTATAAATGTAATGGGGAATTATGGCGACAATTAAAAAAGTACGAAGGTGAAATCAGGGACTCTTTTTAAAAGCGACCTGGTGATTTTTTTATTTATTAGATTAAGAAACCACTTCACGAAATCTCTCTCTGTAAATCACGAAGGTAAAGTATATAGTAGACAAGTTTCCTTATTGGGCTTTTATATTTAATGCCCTGTGATGGTAGTGATATTGACGTAAATAGTTTTCTTTTTTTACTAAGAACTTTTAATAGTAAGTGCGATAGTTAAAAAAAATTATAATGGTTCCTATTTGGGCTATTTTTGCTTTATTCTGAATAATTTTTTTTTGTTTTCGAGTTGGAGAGTTTGTCAATTTTTCATGAAAAAATTTGTTATTAAATAATGATTTAAATGTGAATCAATTATATTGTTATATCTGTGGAAATGACCTGACCGGTGATAAGAATATTGTGACAATTTCCAGAAATATGCATGCTTATAATAAAGAATTTTGAATGCGTTTCTATATCGAAGCAATGGTATGCAATAGGCGTACAACTCGGAACCTTACGGAGCAATCAAAACAAACATGTCGTGGCTATAGTTCTCTCAACCGTACCGCCAATCTCTCCGTGGTTTGTGATGGATCGACTTTAATAAATGCTTACAATTCATCATTATTCACTATTCGCTAAAGTTGTGGTCATCCGCAACCGTCCAATGCGGAATCGAAAAACCAGAAACACGAATTCGTTAGTTATATCCGCTCAGTACACGTGTGCTACTTCGGAACTCGTATCGTTTGATTGCGAAGTGAATAAAAAAATTAACAAACAAAACGAAAACAAATGAATAACAGAAAAAAATTACATTTACAAGCTCGTGATTGAGTTTTGAAAACTTTTTAATCTGAACCTTACACTAAAGAGACTTTAATTTATTTCAAAATACCAAGAACTATTTATTGGCATTTTCATGCTTACAAGTCCACTTGTAAAACAAAACGATACCAATTTTCTTCGGCGATAGAATCCGGTCCGTAGCAACGTCCTAAGTCCATACAAAATACCACATACTGAGTAACTGTCTCTTTCATTCCAATGATAAAATGTCTTCATTTATATTCCGTCCCATTTTCACGCGTCGAAAACAAATGATCTGCAAGCCGAAGAGTACCGACTTATCATAGAGCAAGCTATACTAAAAGCTAGCTAGCTAAATCAGTAACACATAGGCGCAAGCGAAATTACTATACTAGGTAGGCAGTCGTGTCGACTTGGTCGTCTTGGTCGGTTGTAATGAATTCAAATTGAAAATCGAAGTCGAAAAGTCATATTGAAAAAATTTCTTTCGGCAACCGCTTACAATAAAACTTGGCAAATAGATGTAATTCCTCTCTGTACTGAGATAATACCATCACGTTTCGTTTCGGATAAATGACTTTTGAGGTCGGCTTTTTAATATTATGTACTGGGAATATGTGGTTCTATGATCCGAGGGAAGGGATATGTAGAATATACAATTTGTTACAGAATAATAATTTGGTTTGGATTTTTAATTATTTATGTATTAACGAACGTTTTTTCCCTTATATAGTAGTGGGTATTAACCAGAAAATAGTGGCTTGCCCTTTTGTAAGACTTAATTAGGTTAGTACAGGCACACGAATTCTCGGATGTCTGAGGCTCAACTCGGAAAGTTTACTCCCGTACCCAGTCCAAAACAAACTGTCAAATAAATAAAAAGATAACAAGTATGAAGCTACATTAGCATCACGCGTCTTATAATTTAGTCGAGTATTAGGTACTTATTTGACAGTAATTGTTTCTGATGTGAGACGTAGAACGAAAGTGGACTCCCAGGTCCGTTTGAAATTTACTACCAATTCTCACTAATTACTTACATTAATTTAAATTAACTTAAACTGCCTCCGTGGCCGAACGGTTACCATGCCGGACTGCCACGCAGAGGTCCCAGGTTCGATTCCCGGGCCGGGAGAAATATTTGTATGACCTACATTTATTTCTCTCGTGAGTTTGGGTGCAATTTGTGGTTGTCTATGTGTGTGTCCATGGCATCCGCGACACAGGGTTTCCCTAGTGCGGGGCAATGTTGAGTGTGTGCGTTATTATTATTATATTAATAGTTTAGAATAAAATTTCTAGTTTTTTAGAGGAGGTTCTTACCTCGACCGTGTTTTTTTTTGTATGTATGTTACGCGATAACTCCGGTGTTTGTGAACCGATTATCATGATTCTTTTTTTGTTGGAAAGCCCTCTTTCCTCCCTCAGCCCTCCATAGTGGTCTCATTTAATTTGGAAGAAAATTATCCACCTCTAAGGGTCGTTGTTCACGCATGAAGATTTATTTTTATAAATAGCGTCTAAATTTTATTATAAGTGGCAATTTTTTAATGGTCGATTTTGCTATTCTCTAATTCTAGGCGTTTTTCTCTCAATATACTTTGAGTAGTGAGAATCGATTTTTATTATCTCCTGTGTCAAGTTCCGTATAGTGGCGAACTAGGGGATGAATCCGGGCAAGCGCACTTTCCGGTAACCGATTTCAAAAAAACTTGGCAAATAGATATAATTCCACGTACTTTTAAGGTCGGTTTTTTAGTACTATATACTGAGATTATTCTTACCTTACATTGTAAAATGCGTTTACCTTAGATACTTAGAGAATTCGTCTATTATAGAAGATAAGGAAATATAATCAAATTGTCTACCTTTGTCCGAAAATTTGATTGAGTGTCGCGTTCTAGTGCATCGTGTTCCGGAGGCAAGAGACGTCTCCCTTTTGGATAGTTGTTATATATATATCGTAAAGTGGGTATATCCTCATATTTATTATGGCTTGAGGTGCGAGGTTTCCTTCATCACTGTTGAAATGTACCTGAACGAGAAAGATATCTTTTTTTATGATACCAAATGGCGGGATGATCAAGTCGTTCTTGTGGTGTTAAGCGACACGCCTGTCCATAAGAGTTGTAGTGCCACTCAGAGCTTTAAATCGTAAAGATATTTTCGTCGCGCTAGCATGTATATAGTATGATTGCGTGCAGGCTAACTTATCTATAATGCCCCAAATAAAACCCTCGAACCTTTTTTCTTCTCATTACCAATTATGGCTGTAGTGAGAAGAAAATAAAACCCCCGGTTTTCGTCAGTTTTATTTGGGGCATTATAGTCAAGTTAGCCTGCATGCAATCTCACTATTTACGTGCAAGTGTTATGAAAAACTTTAATTATTTAAAATTGTATGTTTCACAGGTGGTGAAGTAATTACGAACCTCGACTCCGAAAGCCTTAGCTTCTAATAGAGTCTCGTTCGTAATTCCTTATTTACAGCCCTTAATATACTCTGTACTAAGGGGACACCACTGTGCCTACCACTCTGGGTTGACAAGTTTCATATGCCTGTAATTTCATCAGCACCTTTTGCCTTCAAAACCGGAACGCAGTAATGTTCACATTACTGCTTGGCGGCAAGGTTGTAGTAATTCCCTGAAGGAACTCTTTCACAAGAAGCTCCACTGCTACTAAAATAAAACTCCAAGAGAACCGAAAAACGCCTCCTAAGGCAACATATGGATACCTACGTATATGAACTAGAATTACAAAGCGGTACAAGAAACTGTTGTAAAAGAACATTTATTATTGTTTTTGTAACATTTTCTTTGACCTTTCTTTTTCGGTGAACCTTTTCGTGTTCGAACAATAATGGAGTAAAAAAAAAGGTCACATCCCGGTACGCCTGTGACTGTTTAACAGTGGAATTGTAACATTGGGAGGGTGAAAAGTTTTGTTAGAAAAACAAGTTAGAAATGGAAATCCGACGCAATAGTGAATTTTATATATTTTAATGCAGTCTTAACATTGAAATACTTACAAGAACGCATGCCTTTGTAGTCAATCGTAAAGTCACATAGGGTTTTATTTAAAAGTCCCATATCTTCTGCTAAGTTTTGTTTATAGTACCTCTCCCTCCTTAACCTTTGATTATACAGGAAGGATACTATTACCTGTGCAAGCAAGCCTGTCCAGGGACCTTCCAGCCAAGTTCTAACCCCTGATCAGATGTATAAATGCGCACGCCTTCATCCGGTTCTCAACAAGCTAAAAAGGGAAGGGAAAGTACCCTTGGGTGTACGTCGTACCACCTATCGTCCAAATAGGTATCGGAGCTGTTGGCTGGCTCACTGCCCGTTGTGCATTGCACAAATAGCAGTAGCCACCACTAAGCCGTTGACTCTAAATTCTTATTTAAACTGACGGATTTGCCTGTAAAGACCTATGCACACGCGACAGTTTTATGGACGCAAAGGGTTTACTGGCTACGACTGAATCTTATTCTAAGTCGACTATGCGTCATTTGCTCGTAAAAACACACCGTGTGTAGACTCTAAGATATTTTGTTTCTAAAAACACTGAAGCTGATTTTGGAATAGTGTCTACATATTATTTGTAGAGGATCTTATTCACATTTACGGTGATCATTAATCAGTCGAATCCATGTATTTGATTTAGCAGAAATGCCTCATTATTTAGTGAAGAGCAGCATACAACATAATATTAAATGGAGAGCGAATTCCGGAAATCAAGTAAAGTGAGCTGTATATCCCAAAACGTCGAGAAAGGTTTGTTTGGTTGTTCATCAGGGCGAGTAAGTTCCAACCCGATGCGGTAGTGAATTTTGGACATGCCTGAAGAAACATGTAAGTGGAGGGTTATTTTGTAAAATACTAACAACCTCGCAGGACTATATTACGAACATCATAAACAACACCTATTGTTCCACGTCTTTTAATAATTCATCAGATTTTGCTTTCGAATAAAACTAAAAAATGTAAAAGTTAATTTTTCTGTCTTCAGGCTAACAACAACCATCATGATAAAAGTATTCATTGGCCAAAGTGGGGTCAATTACAGTTATTCACTTATGTAAGTTAGTTGAACAATCGTGTGTAGTTTGTTAGTGGTTATTAAACATAAGAAAAAACAAAGTTATCAAGTCAAAGGATGAAATGGTTTGAGATTTCGACTAGACAGAGTCTATTACCTACAAAATTTTATGTATATTTCAACATTATTTTTTCATAAAATTTTTTTTTTGGGAAATTACTCCACTACATTATTATAATTATCATTAATACAAAGATCACATCATCACAAACACTTAGAAAAAAAACCTTCGATCCGGTTGGATTTCAAACCGAGGCAGCAAACCGAGGCAGACGCTGTGCCAACTAAGCCTTACGATATTTTCTATGTGATTTCGCTACACTAAATGTAATAAAATAATAATAATAATAATTGACAAATAACTCATCACGTTTCATCCTCATTCAGTACACCACATTACTTAGATATCTGATTTAGATGTTTAGGGTTCTACGAGAGGTTATTTCATGTTGCCTTTTATTGTTTTCTTGCTTTTATTGAATGGATCAATATGTGAGAATTTACTTTTATATATGTGAACAAATAATAAAAGAAATAGATCTATTATTATATTATAGATCTATTATGTACCTAAGCTTCATAATGAAAACATTATGAAGCTTAGTAGGTACATTACAGTAGTATATTGTGAAGGTGGTGCTTGATTTATGTATTTAACATGTGTTAAGTCACTAGGCCCCATCTCTTGAATAATGAGAATAAACATTACTAAGTAATAGGTAGTAGGTGAATAAACTTATTAAAATAAAATATTGAAATGCTAGAAAAAAAGTTTTTCGCGTGTTAGGTATACAGTAAGATGTGAGTGTGAAAAATGCAGGGATTTTTGGGTAAAACCAATGTTTTATGTAAAGTCCTGAGAGACACCAATCTCCATGACACTCCTTTCTCCCGCCTCTTTTTTTCACCAACGGATCTACTGGTTTTTAAAGTGACCAACGATAAAACTTTTACTAATATAAATACAAATGTAGGTCATATAACCGTACCACTAGCCACAAAAACGCATCGCTATAATTTAATATATATATATATATATATATATATTTACACGGTATTACCGTCGGCAAACTAATGCAGTGAGAAATTAAAGTAGTAAACAGAGCAGGTCTACATACATTATACTAAAACATGAGATTCCCTAGCAACCATTATCTCATAATAACGTAAATATTCACAGCACACAGCCGCCCATCGCCACGCAAGGAGATTGCAATCCAGTGCTGATGCCTATACCTTATAAACCATTGTCAGGGCACGGAATAGCGTTGAGGTCCCACGCGATACTGTAAATGTCGCGGGCACTGACAATAATTCGCTTTAAAGGGGTGTAAGAGTCATTTTTGAGATGCCCGGGACAAATAATCTGACAACGAGAAGTTGTTCGTCACATCAGTCTGGAGGTTGAAGGCAAAAGCCCCTAAAAAAATACTTAGCACCTAGTTTCATTGACGAGAGAATTGGGATCTTAAGAGCACTTAATTAGGAGAACACAGTCTTCCACATAAGCAAGTAAGTTTTTGTCATTGAGGTACTATGATATATACACTATCGAATCTATAGTCAGTTTGATGTCTTATACACTACAGTACCAGTAGCATGTTCTTTTTACTCTGTGACCTATCAAACTGACAATTTCGGAATGCTTGTGAGTGATGAACAGTTGATCCTGAGGTTAATATTGATCCTCCAACTGACAGCTTAGTTTAAGAGTTACTAGTTAGGGTAAATTAATATTATTGTAGAGTTCATACTTATCTTATAAATATAGAATCCGATACTTTTTAACGAAAGTCTTAAAACTTTAAATGAATTTTAAATCCTTTCTCCAAAAATATTTAAATCACTCTAAACGGTGATAACTCTGTGCGGTAATAAAAGAATGTAAAACGCGTGAGCGGGGTGGTGTTCGTCGGATATGACGCTTGCACGCTTTACCTACAGTTTTTACAGATCTAAAAAGTGTCACATAGTGCAACAACAAGTTAAAGTTTGTTTTAGACTAATTTAATATGTTTTGTTAGAACTTGTTGTTTATGATGTTAGCAGCAATAACGTTCTGCGAGGTTGTTACTAAATTACAAATAAGTCTGTAATTTTTATATATTATCTATTAATGACGTTCCAACATAAAATATAAATAGTAAATATAACTAACTTAAAGAAAAAAAAACAAAAATTCAATTGAAAAGTCACAAATCATGAAGTGCTTCGAATACATTATTCCTTGCCGAGGCAAGAGAATCCAAGAATATATCAAATTTTAATTTGATTCCGTTGCTTTAAGAAAGAAAAATGCTGGCCGACCTTTTGTTCCACAGTGCGGCAGGTTGAAAGTTTTTCGATTTGACAAACGATCTGGACGTCGGACTTCCCATTTCACGCAAGACAACTTCTGGACAATCAACAATGTCATAGATCGGCTCAAATACAAACATTATATCAGATGTGTCGAATATTTAATGATCTCATTTCGAAAATGGTAATCTACTTCTACTCTACTATGGTAATCTACATACATAAATCTTTTTTGGATTCTCTCTATTCTATTGGAGTACACGATGTAACTGCCTCAGAAGGGTTACCATGCTGGTCTACCACGCAGTGGTCTCGGGTTCCCGGGTTGATACAAAATTTGGCGGAAGTGGAGTGCACCCTGTTCCTGTTGTATATTAACGATCTGCCCAAAATAATTGACGATCATTGCACTTTATTTGCTGACAATATATTAATTACTTTTCAGTAAAACTTCAATTCAGCTTTGCCAAATTTAGTACAACACCTTTATCGTACATATTTATTTGATATTATATTTTTTTAATGAGTTTAACTGTTTACCTCCATGGTCGAACGGTTACCATGCTAGTCTGTCACGCATATATCCCGGGTGCCATTCCCGGGCCGGAAGAAATGTTCGTATGGCCTACATTT